TAGTGCTCAACATTACATATTTAATGACGATCCCAGTTTAAATATAGGACTAAACAATGTTTAGATTTGTAGCTAGTGCTCAACATTACATATTTAATGACGATCCCAGTTTAAATATAGGACTAAACAATGTTTAGATTTGTAGCTAGTGCTCAACATTACATATTTAATGACGATCCCAGTTTAAATATAGGACTAAACAATGTTTAAATTTATAGCTAGTGCTCAATATTACATATTTAATGACGATCCCAGTTTAAATAAATGACTGCACAGTTTGAGTAAACTCAAAACTTGCAGATAAAACGTAATTTGTCTTTACTTCTGTTCTATGTGGGTTTTGGCCCGTCATGGCCAGGTGGTTAGGGAGCTCGACTCGCAATCTGTGGGTCGCGGGATCGAATCCCCGTCCCACCAAACATGCTCGCCCTTTCAGCCGTGAGGGCGTTTATGTGACGGTCAATCCCACTATTCGTTGGTAAAAGAGTAGCCCAAGAGTTGACGGTGGGTGGTGATGATTAGCTGCCTTCCCTCTAGTCTTACACTGCTAAATTAGGGACGGCTAGCGCAGATAGCCATCGTGCAGCTTTGCGCCAAATTCAAAAAACAAACAAACATTTATGTGTGTGTAGAAAGGGTGAAGAAACATATTCTATGTTTTCTAAATAATGTTGAGAATTATAACAACTCGTAATATTTACTAATATAAGATATCAAAATGTTTATTTTCGCTTTAAAAACACCATTAAATAGCTTACGTAGATAAATTATCGCAATACTATAACTTACAGCATTAACACTTGGTCCCAACAGTGCAGCAGCAATTGCCACGCCTACTAGACCACGAGAATGGCCAGCTAACAGGGACAAAGCAACTCCAGCTCCAGTTGGCAAGGCAGTCAACAGACCAACCCAAAGACTTCTCCATTCACTTCTATTTGAAAAAAAAAAGATTATTATAAAGATTACAATTATTATAACACAATGTTTCAATATTGAAGTTAAAAATCTAGACAGCGCTAAATCATTTATAATCACAATTTGTTAGTTGTATTGATGATTGTTGAATAACACTGTTTGTATGCATTTGTCAAAGTTGTGTTGATGAATATAAAATAGCCATATTTTGTGTTGACCTTTGTAGGTTGTGTTGATAAGGCACATTGTGCCTGTTACTGGCTGGAATGTTGGGAAAAATACAACAAAACATGTTTATAAAATAAAACTATGCCACTTCAGTCCTTTAGCAACACAACTAAATCCACAAACTTACCCATTTGAAAGTAGGTAACAGGAAAGGTTTCATGAAGTTATGTTATTTCATAGATAAAAATTCACAACGGTCTACAAAATGTGTATCATGTCTCTTGACGGAATGAAATTGTAGCCTATAACTAGTTTCTAAAAGTTTTTCCAGCTTACGTCAATTCACTTATTAACTTTACCTTCTCTGTTATATTTGTTTTTTCCCAGTATATGATTAGAAGGGTGGATTCACTCTCTTCAATATCATCTACTACTGCCCCACCCAGTATGTCTGCGGATTTACAACACTAGAAACCGGGTTTCGATACCCGTGGTGGACAGAGCACAAATAGTCCATTGTGTAGCTTTGCACATAACTGCAAACAACAAAATCTTCTGCTTTTGTTGATCCTGGAAAATCAAACTGCGTTCTTTTGCAAATATATACTTAGAAAAAGAATAATATGTCGTCCACCATTTTTGATGGTACTGTATAATCAATCTTTATTATTTATCCAGTGTATATGTATGGCCTCCCAGTGGCACAACGGTATGTCTGCGGACTTACAACGCTAGAAACCGGGTTTCGATAACCGTGGTGGGCAGAGCACAGATAGCCCATTGTATAACTTTGTGCTTAACTTCAAACACAAAAAACAAACAGTATACGTATAATTCTAATATAACTCGTTTGAAAATCATCTCTCAATTTTTATGATGTTATGATTAATACAAGGTTTAACATTGATTTTTACTTAAGCTTTTGCAATAACCCAGTGTTTAAAAATATACTAGCGGCTGAAATAATGACCAACGCCATGAAAATGTATTCATGGGTTATTTCTTTATTTGAAGGATAAGACCAACAGTCAACACATTCCGTTGTCTTATAAGTAAATAGAAAGAAATGCCGTGTGTGAAACACCCGAGTTGGTGAAGCATTAGGCTTCTTAGGTTTGACAATAACGTTAAAATCTCACTTGGCTGCGAACATTTGAAGATATAAATGCTCGTTTTATATGCTTCTATTTGGAAATGCCTGAATAATTAATTAAAAGGGATTTATAGTACAATCGCCCGTAGTCAAGCGTAATTTCACAGTGAAAAGCTACTGGAAAAGTATTTACATTTTGTTATGTATTGAGAATTTGAAATAATCTGCAGCCAAGTTAAATAATTTAAATTTTAATAGTTGAAATGTACCCTGGATTTAGTATTTAGAAATATGCTGATATTTTATTTAATTTACGTTATTTGCCAACAAGATTGATTCACACCGTTTTTGTTTTCAACACAAATACGTTTTAATATATATATATATAACAGTATAATTTACAATAGCAACTATTATGATTAATTATTACAAATATCCAAAAATCTTCTTCCTAGTTCAGAGTCTCCTTGATATCCAGCGAGTTAACTTGAAGTCGATGTACGTACAATTGTCGGGAAGCTAGCTAGCTTCATCAGGCACTGAATTGTTAGACCATTGAAGCAAGATGATATTTTTATAAAACCATTAATGTCCGATGAGAAACCAACAATATTTTTGGAAAGATACTAACGTTTGATGAGAATTCACTAATGTTCGAAATTTATAGCTGTTCCTGGTCAAATGTTGTATATTTTCCGGTTGGTAAGGGTTAGCAAAATCACGGCTTATAGCATACACATGGTTATAACAGTTTTCTTGCAGACTTAATTGTTTCTTATTTGGTCTTGGTATTTTTATAAGAGCGGGCAATGCTTTTCTCAAATGTTCGGACAATACCGGTTAGGAAGTGGATATATTGTTGATTCTTGTGTTCACAAATATTCTACAACCTTGGAGAATTGGCAGGAGTTTCACCATACGTAAGTAACACAACACGGTAAGCTAGACACGCCCTCAAATATAAACTTATTCGAAACAAACGTTGACATTAAAATAAATATATAACAAATTCGTTATACGCAACACATATCTGATACTACAAGCCACGCATATTTCTAAATACAAATTCAATCCAAACAACGTTCATATTAAAAATAAATACACACAATAATAAATTCGATACAATTTAAGCATTCAGATAGTGACATAACTGGCACACACTATATTGGTGGAAACCGATACAAAGTGAAAACAATGAAATAATTTAGACAAGCGACACATGTGTAAACTAAACTCACATGGAATAAATATTTATCATTCACACGACTTAAAAAGTTCAAATGTTTTCAAGAAGACGATTGACTATATAATGATTAGAGTAGAAAATTGCCCATTTAAACTTACAAAGTTTACTATATTGCTTTGCCAAACTAAATGGTTCTGGACAGTCATAAAAAACATAACCCTTTTTATTGTGGTATTACAAGAACTTATCGTAAATAAAATACACCTGTTCACTTAATAACTTACTTGGAAGTCATTGCTTCTGTCGGCCATCCTTCAGTCGCCCACTTGTCAGCAAAGTTTCCAGAGATAAGGCCAAATAGGAACCCTATAATATTAAGTCTAATTAACACCTGAAAACCATTGTAATAAATAATTGCTAAAAAAATTAAGATTACTATAAAAATACATGTCGCCCAAGTTTAAACAGAGAGCATCAGACATGTGCTTTCGAAAAAAAAAATTATTTGCTGGGCAGAGCTAAGCAAGAAATGTAATGTCGTCATATAGAAGATCAAAAAAGAATTTCAGAAAAAATGCATCTGACAGACGACTTTGTGCTGTACAGGTATATGCATTAGACTCGTCAGAGGCATTTTTAACATGGCTGCTAAATAAAAACACTTTAGAAAAGATCAAAAACTATTCTTAATAAGATAAATAAATAAATGTATCGCTACACGAAGAATTGATTGGTTATTGTTAAGTACAGAGCTACACAATGGGCTATCTGTGCTTTCCTCACCACTGGTATCGAACCCCGATTTTTAGCATCGTAAGCCTGCAGGCCCACGTGAGGAAAGGAATAAATACTATCATAACTTTCTGCTAGAAATATATAAGGAAAGATGTCAATATTTTTAAGTTAGAGAGATTTCAACAAACAAGGAATTCTCGAAATCAATCAAAAAAAAGGGCGTCTCTAGAATTTTATTCAAACAATTTTTATCAGAAGAAGGTTGGTTGGAGGACGATTCTACGTTAGTTTTGTTAACGCGGAAATCAACAGAATCCAAAAATTTTACGAATTTAAATTTACATATATCAATATATGTAGTAAATACATCTTACCCCAAAACACACATGTACTCAGTGCAATGCATTCATTGATAATCCCCATATTTCTAAGATGAGTATCTTCTATCCACATCCCAAACGTAGCAGCCAAAAGTGGTTTCTACAGGATAACCAAAGCTGTTTAATAAACCAAACTAATCTAGATTATAGTATAATCGACGCAACATTCGTTTTAATTTGGAGGTAGTTTTGTTTATGCGCTAACTAAAACTTTCGGTTATTATTACCATAACAAACTCTGCAGTAACTATGGAATTGGTGAATACAAGGCGACACACGGTTTCTATATAGTATATACTGAATAAATACAACCAGGTTCAGCCTTGTAACCAAACATTTTACAAAATTTCAGTGTATGTGTGTATAATGAAACGTAAATAATATCGTTCAAAAAAAAGAAATAGAAAAGAAGAATAAAATGTTAAAGTGCACGACATACTTTCAATAATTATATCGAACCTTCGTAATGTATATACACATTACTGATAATCATTTGAGATCCGGAATGAACTGTTTGGTATTTTTTAATAAACACTATGTCCAAAAATGATGGTTTCTTATGTTCCTATGCAAATCAAATATAATTCACTCGTCAGCTGTGTAGAGGGTGACAGGTTTGAAAATGTAAGTATTGTGGTCTATCAGTCGGTTTACGATACAAATCAGTATGTATAAAACCATCTTTTAATGTCAGGTTTACATCTAAAAAACTTATTTGAGTAGTGGAGTAATCTAGAGTAAATTGAATAGAAGTGTGGAAAGAGTTTGCATGTCTATAGAAAGATAGTAAGGAGTCTTCGTCTCCTACCCAAATGAAAAAAAATGTCATCTATGTACCGTTTCCAAATGTTTGGTTTCTCTTTATAACTTTCCAACAGTCTCGTCTCTAAGTCTCCCATAAAAACATTGGCATAGTTTGGTGCCATCTTGGTCCCCATAGCAGTGCCTTTTGTCTGAGTATAGAATTCATCATTAAATTCAAACCCATTGAGTGAAAGAACTAGTTTAGCTAAGTCTACAGTAGTCTGTGTGTTGAGTTTGTCAAGTTTCAAAAGGGAAGATTCAAGAGCTTTCAGGCCTTCGTCGTGAGGAATGTTTGTGTAAAGAGAAGAAAAGAGAGATTATTCTGTACTTTTAAGTCAGAGTTAATGGCTTGAATTACTTCACTCTCAATTGCAGCAATAAAGCTCTCTAAGTGTGGTTCTCTGTTGAGTGGGAATGACCAGGTGGATTTTTCTTTAAACTGTGTACCGATATCATTTGTGTTAGCGGTTTTATTGTGGAAAAATTCCCGAAGTCTTAATCTGCGTGCAAATTCTTGAAGGTCGGAAATAACTTCGAAATTATCTATGTTCTTAGGGGTAGGAGAAAAGTTGAGACCTTTACTGAGAATGTTGTGTTGAGTTTCAGTTAATGTTTTAGAGGACAGATTTACGACATGGGAAATGTTTTCGGGTTTGGGTCTCTCAGACAAGGAAGTAACTGAAGTGGATCAATCAGGAGTAGAGCTTATTTTATGAAACAACTCAACATGCTAGTTTGTATCATTTGAGTTTTTGGTCAACAATTCACAGGTAGCGTCAATAGGGGCTTGTTTAAAGCTATTATTTTGTTATGAACAGACGATAAGATTTTGGTGAGATAATACTTTACTTTTATGGGAAAGATCATGCTATGTTTGTTCCTTGTTGTTTATTGCGTGATTTTCGAAAGACTTTTTTGTTTTGTTAATAAAAACTTCAAGTTTATTTTGTTCAATAGTAGAAATTGTGTTCTCGGAATTTTAATGGAAATGTTCTTATCAAGATCGGCTACTGTGGATTTGCAGAAGTCTTGTGTGAGCTTCATAAGTGCAATTGAGGTAGAATGGAAGATTGTCTTCCATTGTAAACAAAATAGTTTGTCATTGGCCCCTATGGTAACTAGTGGATTCAGATTAAGTGATTTAGGTATAGATCAACACTGTAAATGCTGTTCTAAGATGTCAGTATGGTTAATATATCTCAGTCTCTTTTCGTTCAGTTTTCTAAGTCGTTTGAAAGTTTTGGTAGGGTTGAGATTAGAATACGATTGGGAAGTTGTAATGGAGTGAAGGTTTAATTTGAGGAGAGTGGAAGATTTTTTCTATGGGACGTGAAGGTTCATAGTTTTCAGGTTTGGAACTTAGTGGAGGATTGCTAGGAATATAGCGGATACCAGAAGGAAGGTTGTTTT